ATACAGTCAGCAAAAACAAGACTGGGAGCTGATTGTTGCTCAGATCATGAACTCCTTATTGCCAAAATCAGACTAAATTGAAGAAAGTAGGGAAAATGACTAGACCATTCAGGTATGACCTAAAGTGAATCCCTTATGATTATACAGTGCAAGTGACAAATAGATTCGAGGAATTAGATCAGATAGACAGAGTGCCTGAAGAATTATGGGCTGAGGTTCGTGACATTGTACAGGAGGCAGGGATTAAGACCATCCTCAAGAAAAAGAAATGCAAAAAGGCAAAATGGCTATCTGAGGAGGCCTACAAATAGCTGAGAAAATAAGAGAAGCTAAAGGCAAAGGAAAAAAAGGAAAGATATACCCATTTGAATGCAGAGTTTCAAATAATAGCATGGAGAGATAAGGAAGCTTTCCTCAGGAATCAATGCAAAGAAATAGAGGAAAACAATAGAATGGGAAAGACTAGAGATCACTTCAAGAAAATTAGAGATACCAAGGGAACATTTCATGCAAAGATGGGCTCAATAAAGGACAGAAATTATATGGACCAAAGATATTAAGAAGAGGTGGCAAGAATACACAGAAGAACTATACAAAAAAAGATCTTCATGACCCAGATAACCATGATGGTGTGATCACTCATCTAGAGCCAGACATCCTGGAATGTGAAGTCAAGTGGGCCTTAGGAAGTATCGCTACAAACAAAGCTAGTGGAGGTGATGGAATTCCAGTTGAGTTATTTCAAATCCTAAAAGATGGATGGACTTGGAGGGTATTATGCTTAGTGAAATAAGTCAGAGAAAGACAAATACTGTATGTTATCACTACACGTAAAATCTAAAAAATAAAATGAACAAATGAATATAACAAAACAGAAACAGACTCACAGATACAGAAACAAACTAGCAATTTGGAGAGAAGGAAATGGGAAGGGGTAAGATGGGAGTAGGGGAATAAGAGGTACAAACTACTGTCTATAAAATAAATAAGCTACAAGGGTTTATTGTGCAGCAAAGAAAATTTAACCAATACTTGGTAACAACTTTAAATGAAGTATGTTGTTGTTGTTTATTTGCTATGTCATGTCCAACTCTTTTGTGACCCCTTGGCCTGCAGTCCATCAGGCTCCTCTGTTCATGGGATTTCCCAGGCAATAATACAGGAGTGGGTTGCCATTTCCTTCTCCAAAATGGGTTATACTCTATAAAAATTTTGGATCACTATGTGGTACATCTGAAAATAGATGTATGTAAATTAATATAATATGATATGTAAAAAAAACTCAAAAAATTTTTTTCACTTAAAGTAAATCCAAATATATTTTACATACCCCTCTATTGGTTGCAATTTACAATATAAAACTGTTAAAAGTAATATTAACTATTTCTGTCTAGTTGGAATAATTAACCTTTACTCACACAGGAGATGGACACTCACTCATCAGAAAAGAGTTCATGAATAGGAATTGGAACTCCGCATTGTCATTATCCTGTAACTATACTCAAGATTCTGCCTATGAAAGAAGAATCCACTGGTCTGCTGCTGTCCAAAATTTCCTTCTGCAATGATAGAAATGTTCTAGATCTACACTTTGATTATGGTAGCTACTGACCACATGGGACTTTTGAGCATTTGAAATATGGCCAGTTCAATGCAGGAACTAAATTCTAAATTTTATTTTAATAGATTTAAATATAAACAGTTTCATGTGGACAGGGCAGCATTAGAAAAATGAAACAAAGGGTCTGCTATCGCTTTTTAAAAATTCAGTCCATCCATCATTGTTAACAAACCTTCGGCTGGGGCTTGGAGTGAGCGATGACAAGGAAGGTTGGGTGGGGGAGGGCCCCGCGAGGGCCCCGCCTTCCTCTGCAGGCTGGGCGGTAGGGTCCCGCCTTCCTCTGCAGGCTGGGCGGTTCCCATCAGGGAAGCAACGTCACCGTTGCAAACTCCGTCAGTGAGCGTGTCCCATCTGTGAGAAGGGCCAGTGTGGCATCAGTTACTCCAAGACCACACTGGTGTTTCTCAACCTCATGTTCTGGTGTGGGAGCGTATGTCTTCATCCCTTAGAACCAGTACGACCTCTTCTTTGAAGATGTCTACCCTCTCCTCCCTGCTGTGCTGATCGTAGCTGTAGGAGCCCGGCTCTTCATTACCGGGCTGATTGGCTGCTATGCCACCATCCAGGAAAGCCGCTATGGACCTGCCACGTTTGTCATCATCCTACTCTTAGATTTTTGTCACAGAAGTTGTTGCAGTGGTTTGGGGATGTGTTTACAGAGCGAAGGTGGAAAATGAGGTTGATCGCAGCATTTGGAAAATATATAAAACCTACGGTGGAACCAACCCTGTGCTGCTAGCTGGGCTATTATGTTCCCAGACAGCTGCCCTGTTGTCCCATTCACAACTCTTCTCACTAAGAAAATACAGACTGGTTCAAAGAAACCAAAAATCAGAATGTCCCTCTTAGCTATTGCAGGGAGACCGCCAGCAGCTGTCATGGCAGTCTGGCCCGCCCCTCTGATCTCTATGCCTCAGGGTATGAGGCTACCGGAAGTTGTGAAGAAACCACCGGAAATCATGAGGAATGTTATCTATGAGGCAGTGACATATGCAGGTCTCCAGCTACTGGTCGGGCTCTGTGCCTGCATCCTGTTGTGCAGAAGGAGTAGAAAGCCTGTTTACAAGCTCCTCATCACTGGCGGAACCTGTGCACATAGAAAACTCACCTGAGCATTTTAGTCTTGTTCTGCTTTGGAAGGTGAATTGAGTAAGTCCATTCAATAAAGGACAGAAATGGTATGGACCTAACAGAAGCAGAAGATATTAAGAAGAGGTGGCAAGAATACACAGAAGAAATGTACAGAAAAGATCTTCATGACCCAGATAATCACGGCGGTGTGGTCACTCACCTAGAGCCAGACATCCTGGAAAGTGAAGTCAAGTGGGCCTTAGGAAGCATCACTACGAACAAAGCTAGGGGAGGTGATGGAATTCCAGGTGAGCTATTTCAAATCCTGAAAGCCAATGCTGTGAAAGTGCTGCACTTAATATGCCAGCAAATTTGGAAAACTCAACAGTGGCCACAGGACTGGAAAAGGTCAGTTTTCATTCCAATCCCAAAGAAGGGCAATGCCAAAGAATGCTCAAACTACCTCACAATTGCTCTCATCTCACATGCTAGTAAAGTAATGCTCAAAATTCTCCCAGCCAGGCTTCAGCAATATGTGAACCATGAACTTCCAGATGTTCAAGCTGGTTTTAGAAAAGGCAGANTGTATGGATGTGAGAGTTGGACTATAAAGAAAGCTGAGTGCAGAAGAATTGATGCTTTTGAACTGTGGTGTTGGAGAAGACTCTTGAGAGTCCCTTGGACTGGAAGGAGATCCAACCAGTACATCCTAAAGGAGATCAGTCCTGGGTGTGCACTGGAAGGACTGATGTTGAAGTTGAAGCTCCAATACTTTGGCCACCTGATTCGAAGAACTGACTGATTTGAAAAGACCCTGATGCTGGGAAAGATTGAGGGCAGGAGGAGAAGGAGATGACAGAGGATGAGATGGTTGGATGGCATCACCGACTCAATGGACATGAGTTTGGGTAAACTTCAGGAGTTGTTGGTGGACATGGAAGCCTGGCGTGCTGTGGTTCATGGGGTCACAAAGAGTCGGACACTGCTAAGGGACTGAAATGAACTGAATTGAATTGCTATTGGCCTCCTGAGTTCATTTAGTTAAAGCACAGGTACACACACAGGTGTTGGACAGAGCAGCTTGGCTCCTCCTGTGTCTACCTTCCTACTTACCCACCTATGACTTTTCCTCTGTTCTAGCAGACTCTCCATGTCAGTGAGCATGTAAGTACCCCAATAAATGTTCTAATCTCAGAACTGTTTGTGAATTGCTTAATGTGGTAGAATTAAAGGCGGACATGGGCCTGCTTCTGTCACCGTCAAGCTGTAAGGGAACTGCTGCCAAAGTATCGCCAGGTCCTTTCAGTCTTCACAGGGGAGCCAGAGGTTTTTGGCCAGAGGTTTTTGACAGGAGAGGGAGGCAGTCAGCTGTCTGGTAAAAGTTATTTTAATACCAGATGGTGCCCCTCATCAGTGTCCTTTTTAAAAATATATACCACAGTCCAGTAACTAGCTCAATGGCTATCTTACAAAATGGCTAAAAATAGATTTTAGAATCATATGGTGTGTGTCTTGGTTAATCTTCAAAACAGACTGATCTTTAGAACTAGCAGTTTTTAAGCAAAGCTGGCTTTGTGTGTGTGTCTGCTCAGTCACTCAGTTGTGTCCAATTCTTTGTGATCACATGGACTGTAGCCCACCAGGCTTCTCTGTCCCTGGGATTTTCCCAGCAAGAAGTGGATTGCCATTTCCTCCTCCAGGAGATCTTCCCAACCCAGGCATTGAACTGTCTCCTGTGTCTCCTGCATTGGCAGGTGGATTATTTACTACTGAGCCACCTGGGAAGCCCAAGGAGTATAATGTATGCACTACTGTTTAAAAACAACTTTTGTGGGTGTGTGCATGTGGCTTTGTATAGTTGAGCCCATTTCAATCTAACAAGTCTAAACTTGTTAGAAATAATATACCCATGTAGACTAGCAAAATAGTATGTAAATGTGATCTCAGTTGTAACTAGAAAAATCTAATTCAATAAACTCTGTATTACCCTCAAAAAAATAAAATAGCTTCGTTATTGTTGTTATTTGGCCACCCTAGGTGGCTTGTTGGATTTTAATTCCTCAACCAGGGATTGAACCCAAGTTCTCAGCAGTGAGAGCTCGAACAGCTAACCACTGGACAGCCAGGGAATCCCCAGCTTTGTTGTTATTATTACCTTTGGAACAAACCCTATTTCAACAAAAATAATGTTATTGAAACTTACTTTGGGGGTAACATTTTCTTATACTGGGAAACTAATCAAATATCTGAATTATATAAAGGACACATTTATCACTGTTCTCTATGAGTATAGAAAAATAGTATCAAATTTTTATTCAAAAAAATTTTTTATTCATATATGAAATAAAAGTACTTTTCCAATTACAGATTTGGTATAAAGTGAGAAAACTTTCTAAGTACAGTTTTCTATTGAAGAGGTATTTTATAAACAGTTTTGCTGTACTATTATATTTTTAAATTATACATTTAAATATTAAATCTAGCAATGCTTAAGAGAATGAAAAGACAAGCCATAGACTAGGAGAAAATACCTACAAAATGCATAACTGACAAAGCACTGTTATCTAAAATATACAAAGAACTTAAAGTTCAACAATAAGAAAAAACTTGGTTAAAAAATGGGCCAATAACCTTAACTGATACCTTATGAAAGAAGACATACAGATGGCAGAACAGTACATGAAAAGATGCTCCACACCATATGTCATCAGAAAAGTGCAAATTAAAACAACAAGAGTACTACAACATAGCTATTTGGACAGCCAAAAAGGAGAACACTGAAACACCAAATGCCAATAAAATACAGAGAATAAAGAAATCTCATTCATTGCTGATGGGAATGCAAAATGATACAGTCACTTTGGAAGAGAGTTTGGCGGTTTCTTACAAAACTAAACATATGCTTATACAATCCATTAATTGTGCTTCCTGCTATTTATAAAGAAGAGGTGAAACCATATACACACGGAAACCACACCCAGGTGTCAATTTGTCTATCTTGAGCTGATCTAGCAGAAAAGAACAGCAAGACTTGTGATTTATAGACTTTCCTTTTTGTCTGTAATTTAAGAACTGAAGATTTGCATCCACTTTTTGTTGATATTCTCTAAGCTTCACTGTACACACACAACTTCTGTCAGATAAGATTGCACATAATTAGCTGAAAGTTGAACTATTCAAACTAAGATTTCAAGTTAACATTATATCTCTTTTTTTCCGGGTGGGGCCACACTGCAGCATGTGGAACATCCCTGACCAGTGATGGAACCCATGCCCCCTGCAGTGGAAGCACAGAGTCTTAACCACTGGACCACAGGGAAGTTCAAAGTTAACATTATAGCTGATCAGGAAGTAGAGTGGATCATTTACTTTAAAAATAAAATACATAAAAATTACAAGGACTTTGTCAATCTAACATATGATCTCAAAAGGCAATGGCTAAATTAGGGACCACTCAGCCACTTTCAAAGTATGTTTTTCAAAATGATATTTTTTTGCGGTAGCACTGATATACAACAAAGAACTGCACATATGTAAATAAATAATACAATAATATACAGACACCTATGATACCATCACACAATGGTGGGGGGAAGAAATGGAGGCCATTGTGGGCAGGGGTGGGTCAGCCTCCTCTCTTTCTTACATTACAGTACAAGAACACAGACACATTCAGACACCTCTATGAAAAGAGAAGTCTGGGTTCTGAAGTCATAGAGTAGGGGCGTGAACACAGCTTTCTTTGCTCAGTTCCACATAAGCCATCAGTCTCACACCATAGAAGAAAATAATCAAGAACAAATTCAGGTCAGTCATCATAGGTGGGGGCATTCTGAACAAATTTCCACTACTCAAAATATTCAAATCCAGAGCATCCCCATAACCCAGCCCCTCTCCCACTACAGGCCCTCCGGAGTCTCACCTTTAGGAGCCATGAGAGATACATTAGGGCCTCAGATACTGTCTTCTCCTGGGATAGAACAGAACTTGGTCAGAGCCCACAGGAGTTAAGACTAAAGGAGACAATACAGGGTGGGTGAACCTCCCCAGAGGGTTCCCATCTACACTATCTCAAGGGTCTCAGGGTTCACCCACACACACACCTGTCCATACTTACTTGCAGTCTGAGTATAACTCCCTCCATCTCCATCTGTGGGTAAAAGACATCATGTGAGAGACCTCAGGGGAGGCAGAGTCATGAGGTTCTATAGGAAGCCCTTAGTCCTGAATCCTAGGAAAGTTTCCAGAACTGTGAATGCAGATCCAGGGCAGGATTGAGAAACATGAGGAAACAGGGTTTTTGGGAACTGTACCAATCCTCTTCTGGATGTCTATAATTAGCTGCTGGAAATCAGATTCCCCATTAGGGGAAGCATCAAAGTGAGAATGTAATCCTCTTTTACACACATGCCTTTCAAAAGAGTGTTAGAGGGCTTCCCTGGTGGCTCAGTGATAAAGAATTCACCTGCCAAATGCAGGAGACACAGATTCGATCCCTGATCCAGGAAGATTCCATATGCTGTGAAGCAACCAAGTCCCTGAGCCACAACTCTTGAGCCTGTGCTCTGGAACCCAGGAGCTGCAACTACTGAGCCCACATGCCCTAGAGCCAGCGCTCCACAACAAAAGAAGCCATCGCAATGAGAAGCTCGCACACAACAACTAGACAGTAGCCCCCGTCTCTGCAACTAGAGAAAAGCCTGCGCAGTAACAAAGACCCAACGCAGCCATAAATAAATAAATAAAATTATTTTTTAAAAAGAGTGTTAGAAACAGGACCTCAGACTGGGTAAGTACGTCTATGTAGATGGTGCCTCCCAGCACTGAGGCAAGAGACTGGACATTTTCTGTCCTGAAACTCCCTGGGGGCACAAGAAAACCCAGATTTCACTCTTCTCCCTACCTGAGTGTTTCTTCCTCCAGATCACAGCTCCAGCAACCACTGCCAACATGAGGAGAACCAGGCTAACAATGATGCCCATGATGGGGATGGAGGGCTGAGGAGGTTCTGTGGAGGAAAGGGAAGGGCCCTGACCTCAGGCTTGAGCCCTGACCTTACTGAACTGAGTCCTGAAGGGCTCCTGCTTTATCTGAGAGGAAGCTCCACCCCACCCTGCTCCTTACCCCATCTCAGGGTGAGGGGCTCCTGAAGCCCTTCGTGCTGCACATGGCATGTGTATCTCTGCTCCTCTCCAGAAGGCACCACCAGGGCTGCCCACTTCTGGAAGGTTCCATCCCCTGAAGGCCTGGTCTCCACAAGCTCCATGTCCTGAGTCTGGTCCTCCCCGTCACGCTGCCAGATCAGTGAGATCTCCGCACGGTAGAAGCCCAGGGCCCAGCACCTCAAGGTGACCTCATGGTCAGAGATGGGGTGTCGGGTCACATGGGTCTTTGGAGGAACTGAGGAGAAAGGTGAGAAAATTTAGGAACTTTGTATTAACTCTAACAGGCCACATGAGCGGGCACTTCTGTGACCATTCTGAGAATGGAGGGAATAAATGGTGTGAGAGGTGAGAGTGCAGAAGCCAGACATGAGCCTGGACCCCAGGATATGGGAAAACTTCTTATGCTTTGAGAAGTTCTAGAAACAGGATAAGACAGCCCAGGGTAGGAGGCTCCAGGTCTCTGAGTAAGACGATACAAACTTCTGGTCCTGACCTAGGTGAAGACCGAGTTGACTCAAAAAATCTGGAGTCAGGCGGCCAGTGAAGAAGGCATGGGGCAGAGAAAAAGGTGAGAGAGTGAAGCACTAAGACTTAGGCCAAAGTCAAAGAAATCTGTTAATAAATTATTTCAGAGACCTCCACATCCAGAGAGACAGAATCCTTTAATTGTCCTGAGAAGGACATTTGGTTTTTAGGCAGCCTCACAGAATACAGCAAAAACAAGATGCAAAGAATACCTGTTAAGTAAATCAATGTAACAATGTATTTAAATCTGAGAGTGTCACTGCTTTAGAATTCTTTACATCTGCTTCTTTTCTGCACCTCTTGCTTCTCTAGCTCTTCTCTCTGTCTCTCACATCGCTCATCCCCCTTAGTCTCCACCAACTTCTCATCCCTGAATTGTGGCACAAGAACCATCACCTCACCTGCCACCGATAGACTATTTTCTACACAGTGGTCAGAAGTGTTATTTCAGACACTGGGTAAGAATCTGTAAGCCTTACTCTAAGGATCCAAGTTGGGGCGGGGGGCGTGGGGCGNAGACTCATCCAACTCGCTGTGGTTGTGGTTGCCAACGATGACCTGCAGGTTCGACCGCGAAGCCTGCAAATGTTCTGTGGCTATGCTGGTGTGCCGGTCCCAGTACTCCAGCCCCTCCTGCTCAATCCACGGCGCCCGCGGCTCCACCCTCGGATTCGCGGCGTCGCTGTTGTATCTTACGAACTGAGTGTCGTCCAGGTAACTGACAGATTGATAAAGGTCCCTCCCGAGGACAGGACGCGATACCAAAATGTGGAAGTACCTCAAGGAGTGGACCCCCGGGACCGGGAGGGGCTGCCACCCGGCCCGACGCTCCTTCGGGCGCGGGTCCCCATGTCCGAGGTGAATGTGACCTGTAAGGGAGAAGGGGACGAGAGGGCGTGCGAGACGGAAGAGGCCTGGTGGGAGACTCGAGTGGTGAGAGGAGAGGGCTGCAGGCTCGGAAGGGACAGGGGAGGGTCCGGACGGGACGGGGGCGAGGGAGTGGGCCTGGTCTCGGGGCCATAGAAACGCGTCTTCCCCGGCTGTCCTTCGCCCCAGGCAGGCGGTCCCCTGGCTTCTCCTGCAGAGACTATTTCGTCTCGACCCCGCACTCACCCGCCCAGGTCTCGGTCAGGGCTAGGGACCCCGAGAGCAGCAGGAGCAGGGTTCGCGGCTCGGTGACCTGCATCCTTGGGATCTGGGGCGAATGTGAGTTCGGACTAGTCTGAGAACTTCATAACAGGGAACCGCGGTGGCGCTGATTGGCTTCTCTAGAAACCAGTAGACCAAGACCTGGAGCAGCGTCATAGGTGTCCAGGAAGAAGGACCTGACACGGGTTGTGAGAGAGGGAGAAGTGAAACTGTGGGGAGGGAGATGGGGAATCGCCAGTGCTTAGCTTCCGTGTCCCAGACGCCAACCCCCGACCCTAGAACCTGAGACCTTGAGCGCCGCGCCCAGGGCACCTGGGACTTTGTGGCCTCTCCTCGAGGCTGCACCAAGAGCCCTTTGTCAAACAGTCTCCCTGGTGCTGGGACTGTTTGAGAAAACCAAGGAGAAACCCCCAGGCTGGACTCAGCCCCTTTATCTTCCCTTCCCCAGTCCCCTCTCCCTGACTTGCGTCCCTATTCACTCATCCCTCAGGCTCTCTCCTAGGAAAACAAACTTCCAATGAATAGGGTGCCAGAGAGCAATCTGGTCTTCGGAAAGCTGGTGAAGAAACAATGGGATACTCATTAAACTGAGGGCAGTTGTATATGTAGAGATTCCTATAGAGACCAGTTTCCTGTTTGCTTGTTAACCGTAATCCTGATGTCCCCTGAATGATTGAGCATCTAATCTGTAAAAGTAATGATTTTACCCTTCCCATTTGAATGGAATAACCATTCAAATAACCTCTGCAATAACCAAAGTTCATAACTTCACTTTCCCAAACTGTGGCTCCAGGCTTTTATACTTTAAAATTACCTTTATTCCATAGCCCCGAGTTTTCCTGTCGGAGTCTCAGCACATGGTCAATACAGAAAAGCACATGGAAGCACAGTTACTTCCTGCCTAAGACCTGTGCCTAGGCGGGAATTTACTACAGTGACTAGGTGGTGACAGGAGAGGCTAAACCATTGAAAGAAGATTTTGTACTAATTACACTTTCAGAGAGGAGGGGGCATGGCACACCACTACAGGGCCACAGGGAGAAGCACCAAGGTTGGCCAGAAGGTCAGGGAGAGGAAGAAAGCATGGCTCAGAAACTTTCATGGCGTTTTCCTCAGGGCTGAGGGAAAGCAAAGGAGGGCTGGAGAAACATCTTAGGATTGACTGGTTTGAATAAGGTCATTGGCAGGTTCTGGGAGACAGGGCCTATCTCTAGGTGCCTGGTACCTGGCCCTGGATAATGAGAGCAGAGGAATATTGCTTCCTGGAATGTAAGACCTGATAGAAGTGTGTATGTGTGTGTGTTCACGCTCAGTCATGTCCAACTCTTTGCGACCTGATAGACTGCAGCCCGCCAGGCTCTGCTATAGAAGAGGTGATTCCAGATACAGACTCTAGATTGTCTAGTTTGCAAAGAAAAGGCTGCTCCTGGGCAAGCCCTTTGCTGTCTCTAAGAATTGGTCAGCTCTATAGCACAAGTCTCTCCCCAGTTATCCAGACCACAAATGGCAGAGCATCAAGAATACAGAAAATAAGAAATATTATTAACACATTATATTTCAACCAGAGTGTACAAACTTTAATCCCCTCAAAGTTGCAAGTGTTCAGTGCAATCAAATTGCCCTTCACGAACACTCCTGCATCGTCTATATTTGTGATCCACACCTAAGCAATGTGCACATTGTATTGGGCGCTTGCCTGATTGACATAAGGAGACATTTGGTTTTTAGGCAGCCTCACAGAACAGAGCAAATACAAGATGCAAAGAATACCTGTTAAGCAAATCAATGTAACAATGTATTTAAATCTGAGAGTGTCACTGCTTTAGAATTCTTTACATCTGCTTCTTTTCCACACCTCTTGCTTCTCTAGTCCTTCTCTCTGTCTCTCTCATCCCTCAGGCCCTCTTCTCCCCTTAGTCTCCACCAACTTCTCATCCCTGAATTGTGGCACAAGAGCCACCACCTCACCTGCCACCCATGGACTATGCCCCCCACAGTGGTCAGGAGTGTCATTTCAGACATTTTTTAATATTCCAGTGGCTCCATCTCACTCTTGGAAAGCTTCTAGAACGTAAGGCACATGGGCACAGGGGCTTTGTGTTAAAGCTGTTCTGGTTAAAGCTGTGTCCCCAGCATATAAAGCTATGTTTGGTACATAGTAAGCACTAAATTAATCATTGTTGAACAAATGAAATAAACAAACCTGATTGTATTAAAGTCTGATGGCATCATATACAAATCAGAAAATTTTTAAAAGTAGAGAAATTAGGAAAGATCTTATGTTGTTCAACTAGTATATGTGAGAGTTCATAAATTCATTCCAGTGGAGAAAATGTTTTATATGTTGCACAACTGAGCCTGTGCATTAGTTTTCTACTGCTGCATAAAATGTTACCACAAATGTAGTGGGCTCTAACAAGAGCCATTTCAACTCACAGATCTGTGGATCAGAAGTCCAGGTGCGATATGGAGAGGGTCTCTGTTCAGCATTTCATGAGGTTGTGTTTGCAACTAGAGTTTAAGGTCCTCCTCCAAGCTCACGCAGAACTCTTTGCAGAATTTTACTTCTTGTAGTTGTAGCACTGAGGTCCCCACTTCCTTTCCTGAAGTCAGGAGAATGCTACTCTCAGCACCTCTGGCCACCAGCATGTCTTGCTATGTGGGCCCCTCCATTTCAAGCCCTCCCTCACACTGAATCCCTTTCACTCTTTGTTCAGTAATAACCTAGTCTGGTTAAGAATTCACTTGATTCGGTCTGGATTACCCATGATCATCCCCTGTTGTAAACTCAACTGATATTAACCTTAACTACATAAGAAAAATCCCTTCACAGTGCCACTTGTGTTAGTGTTTGATCAAACAAGTGGGAGAAGGTGAATAACCAGCAGTTGGTTATCGCTGGCTGTCTTAGAATCTGCCTAATATTGCCTTGTTCTTCCTTTGGGTTTAATTGGGTTACAGTTGGTAATGGAACTTCAAATAAATAAAATTTTGTGAACAGTAATAACATGCTTTCTGTCCATTTAACCGTGGGAATTCTTCTTAAATCTTAAAACTAAATGGTATGTTTAATAGAAAGTGTTAGCCACTCAGTTGTGTCCAACTCTTTGTGACCCCACAGATTATAGCCCACCAGTCTCCTCTGTCCATGAAATTCTCCAAGCAAGAATACGGGAGTAGGTTGCCATTTCCTTCTCCAGGGGATCTTCCTGACCCAGGGATCGAACTCAGGTCTCCTGAATTGCAGGCAAATTCTCTACCATCTGATATACCAGGAAAGCCCTATGTTTAACATCCTGTTGTTAATTTACAACAGATCAAAAATAAAATGCAATAATCTATTATTTTCTTTGGATGCTGTGATAACTGTGTACTGCTATAAAAGTGACAATTTAAAAAAACAAATAATTATTATGTTCCACAGTTTTCCAGAATCAGAATTGCAGGAGAGGTTTACTTGAATTCTGGTTAGGGCCTCTCATAGGTTGCGATGAAGCTGTCAGCCAGGGCTGCATCATCCAAAGACTTAACTGGGGCAAGAAATTCACATTAAACATGGTCACCCATATGGCTGTTGGAAGAGGCTCATTTCCCTCCTGGATGGTCCTGGGAGGCCTCAGTTCTGAGCCATACCAACTTTCCTTAAAGCAGCTAATGACTAGGTAGCTATCTTCCCCCAGAGCAAGTGATCTGAGAGAGGGCAGCCAAGATGGAAGCTGCAATGTGTTTGATGTCATAGGCCCAGAGTCACACATCATTACGTCAGTTTACTCTCTCAGTTACAAGGGAATCATTGGGACTTCCCTGGTGGTCCAGTGGCAAAGACTCCATGATCCTAATGCAGGGCGCCCAGATTGGAACCTTGGTCAGGAAACTAGAGCCCACATGCTGCAACTGAGACCTGATGCAGCCAAACAAATAGAAAATTTTTAAGTGAATCACTAAATCCAACCCAAACTCAAGAGCAGAAAATGAAGCTCCACTTCTGGAAGGGAGGAACATCAAAGAATTTACCCACATGTTAAAATCAAAATTAAATATTCTTTCAGGATTTTGTAAATCAAATGCTTCCTTTAGTCAATTATTCTTGAGTGCTTCAAACTTCTTTTTGGAACATAATAATAAAAGTTTGCACATCTTCCCTGTAGCTCAAATGATAAAGAATCGGCCTGCAATGCAGGAGAGCAGGGTTCGAACCCTGGGTTGGGAAGTTCCTCTGAAGAAGGGAATGGCAATGCACTCCAGTATTCTTGCCTGGAGAATCCCATGGACAGAGGAGCCTGGCAGATTATAGTCCGTGGGATTGCAAAGAGTCGGACACAACTGAGTGACTAACACTATTACTACTAATAAAAGTTTGAGACAGAGAAGTGAGATACCCCAAGGTCTCTAAGATTTCCCTGCAAATTCTATACACTGGAAACATATAGTAGCTATATGTAAATGATTAGGTAGCTATGGACAATTCGGTTCAGTTCAGTTCATTTCAGTCACTCAGTTGTGTCCGACTCTTTGCGACCCTATGAACCACAGCAAGCCAGGCCTCCCTGTCCATCACCAACTCCCAGAGTCAACCCAAACCCATGTCCATTGAGTCGGTGATGCCATCCAACCATCTCATCCTCTGTTGTCCCCTTCTCCTCCTGCCCTCAATCTTTCCCAGAATCAGGGTCTTTTCAAATGAGTCAGCTCTTCGCATCAGGTGGCCAAAGTATTGGAGTTTCAGTTTCAACATCAGTCCTTCCAATGAACACCCAGGACTGATGTCCTTTAGGATGGACTGGTTGGATCTCCTTGCAGTCCAAGGGATGATTCTGATCTAGGTAAAACTTTGTTCCTAGATCAAAATTAGCCATTCCTGTCTAATGAGACATCAAAACTGTTGTCATGATACTAAGCTCGAAGTGGGAAGGGAGACTAAAGTAAGAAATTCTTCTTTTTCTTTTTTTTTTCCTTTCCTTTCAATTGAAGGATAATTGTTTTACAGTATTTTGTGTTTTTTTTGTCATACATCAACAAGAATTAGCCATAGGTACACCCATGTCCCACCCTCCTAAACTTTCCTCCCATCTCCGTCCCATGAGATTCTTATTTTTCTAGTTAAAATGAAATCTCATCAGGTAATATTATCAAAGATGATATTCCTTTATATTTTTCCAGCTTAATTTACACTGAGCAAAATGCACTTTTTTGTTCCGTAAATGTTTTTAAGCCAGGTGAATGTGAAGTTAATGTAAGTGACGTGTCTAAGCCATCACAAGACCTTAAGCATCAGATTAAACATTGTGCAGCAGAAAACTGCTGCCAGAGAACAGAGATGCCAGTGAACAAGAGAGCAAACGACCTAGACAAAGATATTTCTATGGCATCCTGGATCCTCTCTCTCTAATACGGTTCACAGAATTTGGCTATGGGTTAGTTTCACTGTGAGTAGGTCTTATTAAGGATCCTTGAAATAAACTTTGGTATGTAATTTTCCCTTTCATTGAAAAAAAATTAATCCAGAATTGTTCACAAACTCCAGTTTCAAAAATATCAGTTTAAGGAGTTCTGATACTCCTCAGGACCCACCTCTGAGGTAAGATGTGAAGCTAAGGAGACTTGTCTGATGGTTCAGTGGTTAAAACTCCACACTTCCACTGCAGCAAACATGGGTCCGATCCCTAATTGGGGCACTAAGATCCTGCATGCCATTTCTCAATCCCATCTCCCATGTATAACCTCTATCCTGAAATTTGTGTTTACTGAGTTTCTCTAATGATTTTATAGTAAGTGCATATACCCCCAAACCAAATGTTATTTAGTTCAGCCTGTTTTAGACCTTCCTATTCAGTGAAAACATACAGTGTGTGTTCTTCTGTGACTCAATGTTATGGGTAGGTGAGTTATCTGATAACTGATAGAAAGATTCACTCATTTTACTGCTGGAAAAGCTTTAGTTTGTGATTGTATCACAGTTATTTTCCTTTGGATGAACATATGGTGTTTCAGTTTTTGCCGTAAACATTAATGTACATGTCTCCTGGGACACATAGGCAAGCAGCCCCCCAGAGTGAATGACCAGGAGTAAGACTGTTGGGTTATATGATATATGTACTGTAACCATTCTAGATATGGCTAATTTGACTTTCAAAGTTCTACTATCAATTTAAATTTTCACTAGCGCTGTGTAAGTGTTCATGCTGCTCATGTGGTTGTTCAGAGGAAGCTGTTTTCAGCAGAAAGGCAGAAAGCAAGAGGTAAAACCCACTTCCTGTGTTGAAAGTCACTTGCAGTGCAGATCACCCTGGCATATTTTGCTGACTCTAACAATAACTTCATTTATTTTAGTTTTATTCCGTATATCTGGCATTGTACTTTTAAATTTTAATTGTATTGATGTATTGTTGAATTGCAATGTGGTGTTAATTGAAAAAGAATGTGTCGGGGCTCCCCTGGTGGTTCGGTGGTAAAGAATCCACTTGCCAGTGCAGGAGACATGGGTTTTATCCCTGGTCTGGGAAGATCGCACATGTGGAGCAACTAAGCCAGTGCACCACAACTATTGAGCCTGTTCTCTAGAGCCCAGGAACCGCAACTGCTGAGCCCAAGTGCCACAACTGCTGAAGCCTGAGCGCCCTAGAGCCTGTGCCCCACAACAAGAGAAGCCATTGAGATGAGAAGCCTGTGCACCACAACTAGAGAATCGCCCCCGATCACTGCAACTAGAGAAAAGCCTGTGCAGCAACAAAAACCCAGCACAACCAATCAACACATAAAAAATTTTTTTTAAGTTTTTTTTTAAAAAAAGAAGAAAGAAAAGGAATGTGTATATAAATGGCATCACACTTTAAGCATATGGGTCCTGAGAATGCTTCCTTTTAGCACAACCATATAGTATTAATTTATATATTTGGAGTCCTCATATTATTTTTTTTCCATTTATTTTTATTAGTTGGAGGCTAATTACATCATTGCAGTGGTTTTTGTCATACATTGAAATGAATTAGCCATGGATTTACATGTATTCCCCATCCCCGTCCCCCCTCCCTGGAGTCTTCATATTAAAAAGAAAGAAAGAAAGGAGGAAGAAAGCAGAGGAGGAGGAGAAGAAAAAGAAAAGTCCAAATTAGTAAAAGAGAGAACAAGAGGAGAGCAATTGGAAATATTAAGTATAGATAGCATTTTTAAAATGCAAGGAAATAGAACAGATTTAGACAATATCCATAGAATAATAAAGACTTAGAGCTTTATTACTTAGCTTTATTGAACAGAAAATTACCCTAAAACTTAGTGTCTTAAAGCAACAAATACAACTCAAACATACTAAAAAGACAAGTGAAACGAAGCAGATATTGGTTGGAGAAGCTGGATAAAGAGAAAGGTTTTATAAGATGAAATAAGTAATAGGTTATTGGTGCACAAATGAAAATGATCTTGTTAGTCCCTGTCCTCCAAGAAGCAGTTGCCAAGATGAGACTGAACTCGCCAGTGTTTTATTAGGGAAAACACTTGTCAAAGAATGTGAGGCAGGCAGAAAACACTGGGAGAGCCCGCA